GAACCTGGATGAGAAAACCTTATTTGAAAACAAGGTTATGTGAAATTCAATAGAAACGCAAAGTATTCTCATCAGATTGTGGGAAAATTTAACTACCACTCATTCATCACCTTGAACACATCCTATGTACACAAAAACACACACACACACACATATTTTTGGCATTTTTAAGCCGGAAATTGTCTACAAATGGGTTCCAGTTTGGGTTGATTTTGTTAATTGGCGGGAAAAACGAAAGCATAGAGCATCTTCATCAAGACCAAAGAAGAGTATCTCAAGGATGAGGTCAACCAGAATGTCAGGATAAAACCGAACGACAGTGCAGCGTCATTTTATCTTACACAGCAACTCAAAATGAATGTCAATCGAATTATATGATTTTTGTCGAGTAATTTTAAGAGAAATTTTAAGAATCCTCTTTGAAAGCGTACATATGGGATTCTCCGATTCGGTTTATTCAGTCTGATCTTGATGGAATAAAAGCAAAATGTTGCACACTGAAATTAAACTAAAAATGATTGAACCGACACGAATTCAGATGGTTGTTTATGATACAAAATGCGAAAATCTTATTTTTTTGGGGCTTCTACAGACTCCCAACAGTGTATACATCTTATTGGCGCAGAATAGGCGGCGAAATTCAAGTGAATTGGTTGATAAATCGCAAGCATAAACCACAATTTTATGATCAAAAAAACCTGTTCAGAATGAAGTGGAAAGTTTAGTCTGGAGTGAGATTTAAGCCTTATTGAGACCTGAGCTAAATTGGCAAAACATGCGGAAAACTAACAATGATTGTTTCTATTCTCAACTCAATTTATAATTAAGCGATTTATGCATTCTAGGGTTGGGTCAAAAGTCGCATAATCTTACTGTTGGCTGTTGCAATAAATGATTGAATTGCAATCATACTCGATGCTCGAGTAGCTGTCAAATGGGAATATTGAATCGGATGATTTACCGTTTCATCTCATATCAATTTACTTGAATTGCCCATTAAGTATTAACTTTAACATATTTTCAGGCAATTCCGTAATAAATGTGCCACATTTTTGGCCAGCGAGTGATTGTTTTGGAAGTTATACCGAACTGCCAAGTCCTTTTCTCCCATCCTGGCTGTGCTGTTGGGCAAAAAACAGTCTTCTTTAAGGCAACGCCAGTCATCCAGCCGGCCAAGGATATGCTGTACTTCTGATAAATGTGAATTACTTCTCTGCTCATCTTCCCTTCTCAAATAATACAAGCAGCAATTTTTCCGCTCCCTACAACTCTTCTCATTCCGTACATCTGTGCATCCACTTTTGCATATCTGTGAGAGTGTCAGTGTGTTTCTGTCTATGCATGTGCGTGTGTGTGTATATTTGTATGGAGAAACTTTCGTTTATCCCAATCATCCAATAATCATGCCTTTGGGTTTTGAGCGAAAATGAGCAGAGCCCGCATGGGAAATCACTGGTTGGCGTTTAGTTACACGCCGTTTGCCTAACGCGTATAAATTAAGCAGGGTCTAGAAGGGATTTAGGAAAGATTAAAGTTTGATCCCCATTCTGTAGGAAGGGAGTTTGATTTGTTTGTTATCTTCAGTTCTGACAAAATG